AAAACCCGGCGGTCGCCTTAACGATCGCCGTTCGTCGTGCTTCGGCACGCGAATAAATCGTCCCGAACGCTCCCGAGTCGACGCCAAAGATGAGCATTGCGTACGGGACTTAAGGCGGGAACGGGTAGCGGCCGGCGACGATATTTCTCGTGTCGCAAATTGGTCATAATTTCTCCGCGCTCCCGATCCGCCGAGGTAATCTATTGTCCCGAATCGTTATCACCGTATTGTCGATAATTCTCGTGGACGGGCCCGATTCGGCGGGAGGGGGACGTCCATTCCCCCGGGAGAAGGTTCGATGGACGTTATGGGTCTTATAGTCCTTGTGGGCCTTATGGGCCTTATGGACCCGACGGACCCAACGGACCCACCGGACAGGTGGGGCAGAGATGGACGTAGGACTCGCCTCGGCCTCTCGCCGCGGGAGAGAGGTCCAAAGTTTCGAGTCCCCTCCGAGCGCTATGACAAATTGCTGATAGCTTTTTATTATTATCGGCAGATTATTGCCAATATCTCGTCCGTCGATCTCGCGGCTTTCTCGCGGCCCTCTCGCCGCCTCCGAAGAGAGCGGGCCCGGCTCGCCCCGGGGCCCCGGGAGACATCGTGAATATTAATCGACCCGCCGGCAAGGTCCCGGGCAAAAAAGTCCGAGGGAAATAAATATTTGTAGGAGTTCGCCAACTTTTTGCGTGGGCAGGTTGAGCCTGGCCGGATCGGGGGCCGATCCGCCGGTCGCCGAATACGTGATCGATCGGCCCTCGTTATCTCCTCGGTACTCCGCGCACCGAGGCCTCTTTCGTAGCGCGTCCGCCATTTTGGTCCCTCTGAAGATTACTGTTCAGGGTTTTCGAAGGATAATCATGCCATGATGGAAATGGTAAAGTTTTTCATTTCATAGGGAATAGTTAACGTGAATACAGTTGCTTGAACCCCGCGTACCGAGACCTTCGTTGCGCGTCCGCCATTTTGGTACCGCGCCTCTCTTCCCTCTAAACAGTATTTTTCTATGCCTTTCGAAGGAAAATCGCGTATCGAGGGAAATGGTATAGTTTCCTTTATTTAATACCACATCTCTTGTCTCGTTCGCAGTACTCCCGCCATTTTGATAACGCTTCTCTCTCTTACCTTCAAAGTCAATTTTTCACGTTTCTCAAGGAAAAATCGCACACCTGGAGAAACAGTACGGATTGTCATTTGGCAGCAAACAATTAATGTGCAATATTTTTCTTTCTTCATTTTCTTCCCTTTCAAACATCATTTCTCGCGTTCTTCGAGGGAAAGTGGCGTAATAACGGAGACGGCACAGTTGTTCATGTAATAATAAATAATTAACGTGTATATATTTCCATGGGTTTCGTGGGCGACTTACATTCGACATGGGAATCCCATAGGGAGTCACAGGTTACAAATGCTTACAAAGTTGAGCTCGGAGTGGAGGAGTCGCTCCAAAAGTCTGGGGCTCCAAAATGGGATAAAAGATGGCGACCGATATTTCATCGCGCGTATCGAGACCCTCGGCATTCTCCTCCACGAGCCTCGGAGCTTGATATGTTATTCACTTTCCATTCGCCATAGCCGGCAATCGAGTACTCGTAAAAAGTTAGTCCAACAAGGCACGACTTTTCTCACCCACTCGGAAGTTCATATGACACCCCTTTCGGGAAAAAAAAAGAAAAAAGAAAAAAAGAGGTGCCTTCACCCTGTCATCCTTTCCTCTCCCTCCTCTTCGGCCGAAATTGCAGGAACCGAGACTGAAAAACAGAGTATACAAAAAAAAAGAAAGAACTAAAAGAAGAAATAAGAAAAACCAACAAAATGAAGAAAAGCAAACAACGAAAGGTAAACGGTCTTCGTTCAAAAATTATATTTTTGTTCCATTCTGGCACGACCTCGTAAACACAACATAATTTATAAATTAACGTACGCAATCGGTCAATAATTTATACACACCCGGGGCGATCCTCTCTCTATCTCCGCGCGTTTCGCGCCCTTCCTCTTTCTCTCTTTCCTTCTCTCTCATACGGATGCACGCTCTCGCAATCACGTACCCGATAACTTTTACAAAAATACACTTGCTCCGCGAACCACTCCGCAACAGTCGTACACAAGGACGGGAGGACTCGAGAGGTGGGAAAAATAGATGAAACAATCGGAAACGCGACATGCTCTCCTCTCTTCCGGGCGCCGCCATCTTGTTTAACGGATCGACGCAGAAATTGGCCTATCAACGCGCAACATTCTCCCGATTAACGATTAGTAAATGCACACACGCGACTCGACTCGCATCCTTCGTGTCCTTTCTCGAAGGGAGGAGAAGAAAAAAAAACCATAGAAAAAGGGGGGAGGATAAAAAAGGAGGGGAGGAGGGACGAGTCATTCCCGGGATTTTTCGAGTCTCGAACCCGGTGGGGTAAAGGAGTGGATGGGAAAAGGGGACTTTAACGGGCCGATGGGGAAGGTAACAAAATAAATAATAGAAGCATTAAACATGATTAATCCACTTAACAACGCAACTAGCGATAATAATTAATAATTAATAATAATAGAATAGTTAATAGTCGATAATCGGTACGGTTGGCTAAACTGCAGTAATTACAAGAACGGCCTTCCCCGAGTGGAAAAGAAAAAGTCCGAATTTTTCATCTGCCCTAGCGGCTAAGAAGAAGACAAAATGGCCGCACGGCAGAAACCGCGATCCCTGATACTTATGGAAATCCACGACACCGGGCTAGGAATCGGAAAAACCACCGATTGCCACATTTCGTAAAGATATTCACCGCTCGCCGGAAAGGGGGAAAGAAAAAAAAAAGAAAAAGAAACTGCAACACACGAGGATCAAAGTTGCGTACATCCGATAACCGCGTGCACTGTATAAAACAATGAAAGAGCATTTTGGCCGTATTTCGGCAATTATTGCTTATGCAACTTGAGTTTTAATCCTTTCGTCATCCTGAACATGGTGTGTTTAGGATAGCGTCCGATTAGCGGGATTTTTGTTATTAAATCCGGCGATCAGGTCAAGGCAAAATGAGAGGGAAGATTTGCGAGATAGCGTCGAGGTACGGAAAAAAAAAGAAAGGACCGTTCCTGGTTAATCATCCACCTGGAGCCTCCATTTTGTCTTTCTTCCCTTGCTTCTCCTTCCTTCGGCGCGGCTTCCACCCGACGGCCCTCGGTCGCACCAAAATGGCCGCCGAGGGTCGCGACAAAGGCGGGAAATTCGATTTCAATGGAAACGAATTAGGAGAAACCGGTGGAAACGGACTTAACGGGCTATCCGGCGTGCGCGCGCACCTCTTAAACTCTTAACAATTAGAAAACACTCGATATACAAAAATACAGACGTTATGTATGCCAACGCGGGGCGCCGCTCGCGGAGGGACGCGCAAGCGGCCGAAACGTATCCTTCTCCGCTTCTCTTTTGTCACTGTCTCCTCCTCTCTACACCTTCGCCACCCCATCCTCTACAACGAAAGGGCGACTTCCCGTCCTGTACAACGAAAGTATGACTTCCCGTCCTGTACAACGAAAGTACGGCTTCCCGTACTATACAATGAAAGTACGACTTCCGGTACTGTACAACGAAGGTACGACTTCCCGCGCTATACAACGAAAGTACGGCTTCTCGTCCTGCAAAACAAAAGTGCGACTTCTTGTGCTGCACAACGAAAGTGCGACTTCCTGTACTGCACAACGGAAGTGCGACTTCTCGTCCTGTACAGCGAAAGTGCGACTTCCCGTCCTGTACGAAGCGCAAATGGGAAGTGCCTCAGTACGAGTCAACGAGGTGCTATAACGATAACATCCGCGATAAAGGAGCCGCCATTACGGTAGTTTCAAACGAACGTCAGTCGATCCTGCAGTCGCCTTCGCCGCGATTCGGCGTCCAAAGTGTCCGAAAACGTCTTCCAGGAATCCGAAGATCCCCCGGTAAGGGTAAAAGGAAGTAAAAGCGAAGGAACCGCGACGAAAACCGGCGATAATCGACGACGATAAACGCGCGGTGTACAGCACTCGAGTAAACGTCAATGAAAAGGACGGGAATGATACCGAGCGAGTGGCCGCAGTTTCGACTTCCGGGAGGGGAGTCAAAAGGAAGGAAGAAGGAAAGAACGCAAAAGAAAGAAAGAGCGGGAAAAAAAAACCAACGCATAAAATCTAATGGTAAAAACTTGGAAAGGAAAGAGTACTACTTTCCGCCGTGCACCAAAGTTCCTCGAGGGTATACACAGTACTTGTGTAAAACTCGTATTATAATACATACTAAATATATATACATATATATGGATTAAGGAAACTCTTCAACAACTCTTACAAAAAAAAAATGGCCTCCTGGGAAACTGGGCTCGATTGAAAAAAGAAAAAAAAAAAAGAGAAAGAAAATCTTCATTAACGATAACCATCGACCCCCGCGTAAAACGGGTCAAATTTAACAATGGGTGCGCGTTCTGGGTCGCGCCCTGCACGACCATCGGCCGTCGACAATTTCCTAGGACAAAAGCGTACCTCAACAGTCGTAATCGGTAATTCCTAATGGACGCCATTCTTCCCGGTCGTTACCTTCCTCGTTCCTAAATTCCTCAGGTACGACTCGGCCGAGGAGTCCGGGGGGTCCTTAGACAATTGCTCGCCACTCGCTCGAGGAGAGGAGGCCGAACGGTTCCAGGAACGGGAAAAATGTCGAAGGGAGGGGGGCACGGTTCAGGTGCAGCGAGGACAACGCGCGGACATCCGTGACATCGATAACGACGGTTCGACCGAGGATTATTTACACCGAGTTAACGATAGCAAGAGAGAGTAAGTGTAGACGGAGAGGGTGACGGTCCGCTTGGATTTGGCACATGTCACCTCGCGGGCCCCCAGGGGGAGGTCCTATCGAACGGGGCCCGGGAGGGCCGGGCGATAATACTGTTCGACGGGCCCCGTCAGTCCCGTCCGCCGGGGGCCCGCTTACGGGGCCCGATCCTGGGCAGCAGCGCGGGCCGGCGGGGGGGTCTTCGTCATTCGGCCTTGAGGGCGGGGGCGGGGGCCCCGGGGCTGTCGGGCCCCGCGGCCGGCTCCGTCTTCGGGGCCTGGCCCTCGGGGTACCTCGAGTGGGTCTTCATGTGCCTGGTGATCATGTCCCTGCGGCAGGCGGCGTAGGGGCACTGGGGGCACTTGTAGGGCTTCTCCCCGGTGTGGGTGCGCTGGTGCGTGCTCAGGTGGTCCGACCTGCTGAATACCTGGCCGCACACCCGGCAGGTGTAGGGCTTCACGCCGGTGTGGAGGCGCATGTGCCGGGTGAGCATGTCCGACCTGGCGAAGCTGCGCTTGCAGACGTCGCACAGGTAGGCCTTGGCCGAGGCGTCCTGGGGGCCCTGCCTCCGGTGCCGGGAGGCCATGTGCTTGGCGAGGCGGTCGTGGAGGCTGAACATCTGCCCGCAGACCGGGCAGACGTAGGCCACGTCGGCGCCCGGGGGCATCTCCTCGACTACGGGGGAGACCTCGAGGTTGTACCTGACCGCGACGCTCTCCTTGGTGGTGGGGGAGGCGACGTCGCCCCGGACCACGGGGACGCTGACGGCGCCCCTGGTCACGATCCCGGGGGGCAGGAGTTGCAGGGAGGGAGGCCGCGCCATGGCGTTCTTCATCGACAGGTCCAGCGGCGACTCCTGGGGGCTGGTGGGGTCGCTCTCGAGGGAGCCGCTGCGCGGCGGGTGCCCCGGGTGGCCCGGGCCCCCCGCGGGCCGCTCCCACCCGGGCACGTCCGAGTCAGAGTGGCTGCGCCGGCGGAAGATGTCTGGCAGGTACTTGGTGTGCAGGTAGTGCTCGAACGCGTGCGGCGACGGCGAGACCGGCGCCAGGGGCGGCAAGCTCAGGGGCGTCAGGGGGGTCAGCGCCGTTAAGGGCGCCGTCAGCGGCGACGTGGGGGGCGCCCCGCCGCACTGTGCGCAGGTGCACCGGGGGTACTTGCCCGAGGAGGAGCGCCGCCCAGGGTGGACCGCGCCCCCCGCTCCCGGGTGGTTCCGCCGGTGATGGTGGTGATGGTGGTGGTGGTGCCGGTGGTGCCGGGCGTCCTGGCTGGCCCCCGCCTCCTCCTCGCCGGGCCCCGACTCCTCCTTCAGCCGCAGGGCCAGGAACCCCGAGGTCGCCTGCGCCTCCGCGGCCGCCTGCGACCTCGGCGACCCGAACGCCGCCTCCTCGTCCTCCTCCGAGGCCAGGGTGCCCTCGAACCTCAGCACCTCCCCCTCGGACGGCGAGCCCCGGTGGGCCTGCAGGATGTCCAGCACCTGAGACAGGCGCTTCCGCTTCCGGGGCCGGTGGTTCCGGTTCGCTGTCGCCGCCAGGGTGTTGTTGTTCGTGCAGGGGGGCGGCTTGGCTGGACCCGGGGGCGCTGCGGCGTCCTCCACGGCGCTCTCGGCCATCGTCATCGAGGATGCGCGGCACCCGCCGCCTGGGCCCCTTATGCCGCCTAGGATTCCCTCGGCTACCACCGTGCTGCCTCCCACCTCGTCCTGCAACACAAAGCCACACGCTTGGTCAAAGTCCGGCCATGCGGATCGGCGCTTTCTTGCGCGCCGCCCCGAAGGGCGCGGAGCTTTTGCTCCGGTTTTTCGGCGCGACGCCGCGACCGACGCCCGACGTACATGCGAGACGACCTTTCAGGCGCGAGCGATCACCGGGAAGGGCAGCCCGACCCTGGGGACACCGCGGACCGACCGATTAATGCACCTATCCGACCGATCTGTCAAATCCAACGACCCCACGCGCCAGACAACACAAAAAAGCTGAAGACAGCCTCGAAGACGATCGACTGTCGCGCGGCCAAGATGGCGCCGGTCGCCGCCAGGGGGATCGCGTTCGATTCACAGGCTCCGTTTACCCCGGTCACTCGGCACGCTTACTAAAGCAGTTTTATCAAACTCTCCGTGTAAACGATAACGTATCGCCTCGGCACGAAACGCACTTTTCGACCGTATCGTGCCGCCTTGGTGCCCTATCGTTTACACCGAGAGTTTGATTAAACCACGCGTTCCGCACGCGTGCCAAGCGATCGGTGTAAACTAACCCGTGGAGTTATAGAGCACGACCGTGGTTTATAGTAACGGAGAGGACGTTGCTCCAATACGTGCACGCCATGGAGTGGCCCGATTCCGGAAATACGCCGGGAAATATGATTCTTTTAACGCTTATTCATTAAACCGATGGGACGAATGGGAAAGATCCCAAAGACGCTTCTTCTTATTTTTTTTTTCTCTTTTTCATTAGGAAGTTTATACACTCTTAGGTATCTCCCGTTCGCAAAGAAACGTTCTACCCTTACTGATTAACCCTTTGCGGGCTACCGCCGCATATATGCGTCCGACGTTTGGTCCAATATTGCCTATACGTTTTAATGAATTTCGCCCATATGTCAAAAGAGCTCCGTCCTCAAAGGGTTAAGGACTTCCGGAGAAATTTCTAAACGAAAACACCCTCACTGTCTGACTTCCTTTAAACACCTGTCTAATTTCCTTGCGTGTCCGCTGCATTTTCATAAATTCCATTCCATTTTCATAAATTCCCACCCCAACCGGCTGCTCGTTTCCTCGATCTTTAAAATATCGCATTGTGTTTTCCACTCCCCCCAATGTCACCAAGAGGAGGAATTTCGAGGCCTCCACCTCGAGGGATCTATCATTACCGGAGGCTTATCGATACCCCCGTTGCTTCGATTCCAGATCCTCCTCGGAGATCAACAGGTCGATTACAGGGGAAGGATGCAGTTCTTTGCGAAGAGACGCCCCCCCTCCGGCGTCGAGCTCGTCTCGTTAGACACGACAACGGCACTTTGTCATAGAGCCGTGTAAGTCGAGAGGTATCGGGTGAATATTTGAAATTTAAATGCGCGGCTCCTCGCGCGATGCGGATAAATCAAAGGAGGAGTGGGTAGGAGGGAGGGAGGGTGGAGGGAGGCCCAACAACCCCAACGGGCCCCGACGAGAAGCCGAGCCGGCGGTGGGTGTCCCCGTGAAACCCGAGAGGCCCTCTTCGGGTTCCCCGAGAAATTTCGGGCCCGTCCTGCCGACCCCGTCGAGGCCGCTCGAGAAGTTCCCGTTCTTCGGGAAGGCAGGGCAAGGTTACTCGATCGGCCTTATCCAGGTCGCGATAGGGATTCCCTGGCGAGGGGCCCCGAAACTGGGCCTGGAGTCGCTCGAGCGAAAGGGTGACGCGGCATTGCGTCGACACATCGGAGAGTCAGAGCGGAGGGGCCTGATCTTTGGGCGATTAGGGCGAAAAGCGACCCGGGCCCAAAGTGGCGACCCTGAAGAGGCCCCATTCCTCGGCAAGGCCGACCGAGTTACCCGATCGGCCTCTCCCACGTCGCTCTAGGGATTCCTTGGCAAAGGGCCCCGAAACTGAGCCCAAGATCGCTGCAGTCAAAGGGTGACCTTTCCGAGGGTATCGCTGCCGAAGTACCAAACACAAGGTGACCAATTTCTAGGGGAGGACCGCAAAAGCGGTACAATGAGGTCGCGCGGGCCCAAAATGGCGATCCCGAAGAGGCCCCCCTGAAGAAGACCCCATTCCTCGGCAAGATCGACCGAGTTACCCGACCGACGTCGCTATAGTGACTCTTTGGCGAGGGCCCCGAGACCGGGCCCGAAATCGCTCATACGAATCGACGATTCCTCGACATCAATGCCGAAGAGGAAGAGAGAGGGAGAGACCGGAATCGTCAGATTTCTCGGCGATTAGGCGTCCAACGTCGCGGGCCCGCTCCGGCGAGCAAGACCTCCGACAGCCGTGACACGAGCGGGGACAGGCGTTAACTCCACGTCGCGATCCAAAGCCGGCTAACGGCGACCTCCTCGTGCGCGACGGAACGCAACGCACCGCGACGGACACGGGCCGCGGCGAATTGCGGGCGCGACGAGGGATTATCGGGCGGCCCGATAACGCGGGAGGCGCGAGCAAGGCCCGGCTGCGAGACGTAGGGCCCAGAGAACTCGCGGGGCCCTAACGAGGGCTGGGGGGACCACGAGGACGCGGGGCCCGGGAAAAGGCCCGACGATACCGTCGTAAAACGGAAAAGGGGCCTCGTAAACGGGCCCAGGTATGGAATAAAAGAGAGAGGGGGGCCCGACGGCGGCGTAAAAGCGGGGGGACCGGGCCCGGGCCCCGCGTGGGCGTCCCAGCGGGCCCTCGCGCGCGTCCCACGCTCTCTCGGCGCGGCTCGCTTTCGACAAAGGTCCCCCCCTCGGTCCCTCTTACCCCCGCTCGAAATTCCTCGGGACTTAACGGCGCTCTGATTAATGGCTCGCGGGTACGGGGACTTTCCTCGAATTTATGCAGTCACGCCGCGTTAACGCGTCCTCGCGCGTACCTACGCGCACGCGTTACGCGCACGTGACGTATGGCTGAACGTCGGGGCGACAGCCGTGGCCAAGCGACGCGACCGCGACTCGTTACGGGACTCCGGCCTGGAAGCGGCTTAACGACGTAACCGGGGTGGAAACCCCTTAATCGACGGGGGGAGGAACCTCTTGTCGAGAAGTCGCGGTTATCTCGTCCTGCCTCGTTATCGGGGGGCGGAGGTCTCATCGAGGGCCTCTTCGAGGACTAATTAATTTATATATAATAATAATTCCGAAGATTTTTCGGAAGCTGCTTAAGAATCTCCTCAAAGCGATGATTCGGTGCACCCAGGGCGGAGTCATACTAAGTACTTCGACCTCTTATACATACATTAGGGGTACCTATAAGTGATCAATTGTTCTGACGTCTGAAAAGCCTCTTTCGAGATCATCGATTACTCATGGGGTACCCCTAATGGAATAACCCTTTGGTATCACCTCAATTCGGCGACCTCTAGGTCTTCCAGATCTCGGGGGACTTCGGGGTCCCGAGGGAGGTGGCGGCTTCTTGTAGGCGCTTCCCCGAAGGGCCTCCTCGGCGCGACTTCCAAGAGCGGCGACCGGGACACCAGTAGGGCCGCTTCCTTGCCGGGCCCGACCTCCCGGAACGCCCGGTCGAGTTCTTGCCGGCGGGCCCGATCGGGCCCTCGTTACCGGGTTCCCGCGTCGCGGAAGCCGTCCCGACGTCGGGCCCCCGAGGAGGCCCCGGGCGACGCGGCCTGGGAGTGCGGCTTCCCGGGATGGAGAGCGGCCCGAAGGACGCCGATCCCTGGAAGCTGCTCCCCGCGTGCCCCCGGGAATGGTCCCAGGAATGCCCTCCGAGGAGGCACCTGTACCCGAGACTCGCCGCTGCCCGGTCGTATATAGAGGCAGAACAGGTTGAGAGGCGGTCGGCGTGGGTGGGGCGCTGATCTTTCTCTCGTACGATCTCCACTAGCGCCGGCTACGACCGACTCGCGAGCTGCGACCAGCGAATCGCGGTTCGCTAATAGCGACGTGCAAATCCGAGACCTAGTCTCGGTCTCGGATCCTCCGGTCTTGACAGTGCATACTCAAGTGACGCTCTTCCACCGTACACTGATAAAAATGCCCGTAAATTTTCACGTGGCATCACAATATCAAATGGTCGACACGCCACTTAAATTGCCTCTGTAATCTCGCATTTGGCGTCTACGTTAAATTAATGAAAATTATAATGTAACGTTACATTCAATTCCAGGGAAAATCCGCCGACACAGTGAATGTACGTTACGCGTATGTAAACATTTTCTAATTTGTCATTTTCCCCATTCATACATTTTGAAACCTCCGGTATGGGGTGCGTAAACATCTATGTAAATTTCCAGGGATTTTTATCAGTGTAGTCTTGGACTCCTATTCTCGATGTTCATTTCGATTATTTCTCGTGAATGAATAAATTTTCGCATAAATGAATTTCGCCTCGTTGCGAAGTCGCGTAGGTGGTGAAGATTTGAATGTGTACACGGAAATGTCAATCTCACGTGGGAAAGTTGATGGCACTCGAAAATCGGGTCCCTAGCCTCGGTTTGCGGAGGTGCGAGGTCGAATTTGCTGTGTCGATAATATGGTACCAGTGAAATACGCGATATTATAAAAATAATTAAGTACTCATTAAGTAATATTTTCAAAAGAGATACTTAATCCGGGGTGGAGATGAAATTTAAAGTGAATCGTGGGAGATTGTACGATCCCGTGATGGGAACTGCGTAAATTATGCGTTTCTAGGAGTGGTCCCCTGTACAGGTGGAGGCGGGACCCTGGTGCACAGGTGCACGAGGACCCTGGAACAGGGTGCCGTTTGGTCCCTCCACTTTGGATCCTGGGAGGATCTCTTCAAGGTGAGCACCTCTCTGGCTCGAAACCTTTGCTAGCGGTGCAGGCCGCGCTCTTCGGAAGGAAAGTGGCCGCAGGGTGGAGGCGCGCTGGCGGAACCCGGGCGAGCGGCTACCAAAAAACCAGCCGGGCTACCGGAGGAACCCGCAGGAACGCCGCGGAGGACCGCGCCCATCCGAGCGTGTCTTTCCCCGGGATGCGCCGGAGGAATCGCACCGACACACGACCGGGAAAAAGTGGACCGCCGGATGCTGGACCGAAGC